TGTCTGTCTGTCTGTCTGTCTGTGTGTGTGTGTGTGTCTGTGTGTCTGTCTGTGTGTCTGTCTGTGTGTGTGTGTGTGTCTGTGTGTGTGTGTGTGTGTCTGTCTGTGTGTGTGTGTCTGTCTGTGTGTGTGTGTCTGTCTGTCTGTGTGTGTGTGTGTGTGTCTGTCTGTCTGTCTGTCTGTCTGTCTGTCTGTCTGTGTGTCTGTGTGTGTGTGTGTGTCTGTGTGTGTGTGTGTGTGTGTGTGTGTTTCATTGGGTGCCTTTGTGTCGTTGTCTATCGTGCAGGTACAGCAGAAGCTGAAGGCAGCTGGTTTGGCTGAGGAAGACGACCAAGGCCTGGAGGCCTGGCAGGAGAAGGTGGGAACCTTCCTGCAGAGTCGGGCAGGGGAGAGCTTGCCTGTGAAGCGACAGAGACTCAGGGGAAAAACCAGCATGGAAGTGCCGAGGCAGGCCAGCCTGGCATGGATGCAGGACGTGAATCATGCAATCAGCTTCCTTGGACACGAGCTGATGAGCTTCAAGTTCCCAGAGGTGCTGGATGCCACCATTCCGAAGACTCTGATCTTGGCGACAGATCAAGAAGCGACCCAGTTGGCAGCTTGCAATTTTCTAAAAGAGGAGGCCAAGCTATGTTTGGAACTGGTGTACGACCCACAGCACCGAAGAGGAAACGATGCCATGCTGGCTCTAGCTCAGGCCGGGGTACTCAGGAGGGCCCTGTATGCCATCGGCCTTTACAACCTCCAGTACGGGCCCTACCTCAAGGGCGGGTGGCACGATATGATCAAAGATGCTGCTCAGGCTTGCACGAGGTTATCTCCGAATGACCCCCTCTTGAAAAGCTTTTTCCCAGAGATCTTACAGGACTTGGACGAACCGGCGTCCAACAACACAGAGCAGAGAAGACAAGAGTTTCTGAAGTCCCTCCCGAGTCTTCCAGTCGTGAAAAGCAAGGGGCCAAAAGCAGCTCGGTCCAGGTTCAACTCCCTCCAGCACTCACAAGAGCACCTGGATCCTTACTGGGCCACCTTTGCCTTTATCCTCACTGTCGTCTGCTTGACACAGAACTACGTGCAGTTTGCAGACGAGTTGTGGGCACCACAGGAGGCCTTGGATGAGATCTTGCAAGATGGTGCCTCTGCCTCAGCAGAAGCCCCAGCGAAGCTGACAAAGCAGTCTGCCATCCAGGAGGCAAAGGCCCAGCTGAACCGGATGCGGAGCAAAGCAGCAAACACACTGCACTCGTTTGCCAAGTGGGTGAACGACCCGACCAACAAGTCCTATGCCCGAATGATGTTCTATGCACAGCGACCAGAATCCATGGACTCAGGACTCATGTTGGTTCACCTTCGTTCGGAAGAGGACACCAGGAAGTACTTCAAGGACTGGGCTTTCTGGAGTTTTCTGTCCGTGGCCAAAGATCAGCTGCGAGTCCTTCAAGACCTCAGGCTGCTGCAGCGAGCTGGTTTCGACATGCAGAGAGGGACTTCCAGAGGCCCTGTCTCGGATGACTTCCTGAAGCTTCAGGACAACATGGCAGAAGTCATGTGGTTGATTGTGCGGAAGCTCCTGAAATTTCGCTTAGGCAGCATGCTGCAGCACACTTGGAGTTTGCCTTTGCTGCTAGCAACCTTGCTCGAGCAGTCCGACTTGGAGAAGCAAGCAGGAGCACGGCGTTTCTTGAAGCTCATAGCCAGAACACTGGAGGCCGTCAGGGCCCGAGGTTCCCTGGCAGCCCAGGAGTTGCTGAAAGCTTTGTACTCTCCTCTTGCACGGTGGGCTTTCAGTCGCCTGGACACTGTGGACTACGAAAGCACCCCAAGGGAGGTGCTTCAGATGTGCCGGCAGTTTTGTGGAGGTCTTCTGAACACCAAGCTCGTCGAGGACCTCAACAAGCTTCAAAGGGAACACGAGACCAGGGATACAGCAAAACAAGAGATCAGCGAGATGCTGTGCTGGAGAGCAGGGACCCAGCATGGGGTTCTGGGCAGCTACAAGAGAAAAGAAATCCATGTGCCGGTGATGCAAAGCCCAACCAAAGACCACGACCCGGACCTCCTCTTCAGGCGCAAACCCGACCGAGTGACAAAGATGCCCAAGACAAAGGAGCAGGAAGAACAGGAGCGAGTGCTGAAGCGAATTTGCGGCCCCACCAAGTGGTTTACATGCACACCAGAAAGTCAGCAGCAAACCTTTGCGAACCTGGCCTTGCTCGTGCACATCCAGGAAGACTTTGCAAAAGTGGAGTCTGCCTGGAATGCCTGTCTCTTGCCAGAGGGTGAGGCGGTCTTCGTCAAGCAGGACAAGAGCTACAAGTTTGTGCTGCGAACCTACCGAAATGCAGCCCTGGTGTGGCCCATGAGCACAAGCATCCTCCAATCTGGCTGCAGAGAGCTGAGTTTCAACATGGAAGTCTCCAAGTTGGAATGGCTCTTTCTCTTCGACAAGACCAGCATCTTGGTGCATCCCTTGAAGACGAAGTCGCCACTGCGGATGTGGCTGGAGCACAAAATTCCCGGGGCCGGGATCGTGCCGACCAGCTCTGAAAAGCCCGAGACTTTGGAGGCCTTCCACACAGCACGAGGCTTTTGCGGTCTGGCGGAGGACACCTTGAAGAAGCTGTGTGCGGAATGGAGCATTCCACTGCCCGAGAGTGTGACACACATGAAAGAGACACAGGTGCTGCAGACGGCCTTGCTTGTGAACAAGAAACCAGGTGTTGATGAAGCTACTGTGAAGGCCACCCTGCTGCAAGGCGAGGCCAATTTGGAAGGGCACGACGACGTCGAAGTGGAGGAAATGGAGGCGATCTTGCAAGACACCGTGCTGTCAACAGAGAAGGACACGATCATGAAGCTTTTGAAGAGCAGCAGCAGGAAGAAAAAGGAGGAGAAGGTGACAGAGGCTTGGCAGAAGTGCTTCCAAAATGTGGTGGACGGGCTCCCAGCAGCGAAGAAAAAAGAAAGGGAGAAGGCCCTGGCCAAGGCCAAGGCCCAGGCCAAGGCCGGCAGTGCTAAAAAGAAGAAGGAGCCAGCTTCCTCTTCCAAGACACCTCCTGGGGGCTCGTCCTACGACAACAGGAATTACGACCCGATTCCAGTGCAGATCGACAAGCTGCTCAAGGAGGCGAAACCACCAGCAGCTGGCGTTTACACGGATGGCGACAATGGTCGGTGGAAGGTGTCGTACTCCAGTGCGAGGTCCCACCAGCAAAGATCCATTTCCTGGACCAGCATAGGGCCCCGTGCTGCCGGGAAAGCTGCCTTAAAGCAGCTCTGGGACTGGGCGGAGATGTACGATGGAAAGCCGATCACAGACGAGGCAAAGGACACTCTCAAGAAAATCCAGGCCACCAGCGAAGTACCGGGCTCAGTGTTAAGCTTCGGCATTCTTCGTCAGCCACTGTGTAGTAGTTAGTTTTTGCTGTGATGTTTCTTGCTGTCGCCTTTCAAGGACTGAGTGAAGCCTTCAGCGTGCTGCTACACAAGCTGTTCCCAGAAGCTCTGGCAGCAAAGACAGGGTTCATTTTGTTAGCAAATTTTTCACCCAGAGACTGTGCCTGTGCAACACAGCAGCCTGTTCGAAAATCGACTGCCGAAAACAACAGTGTTTAGTTGCCAGGAAATCCGATTCAGTTTAGTCCAGATTTGAGCCCCGAACAGCAACTCGCCCACTAAAACTTAAAGGCTTAGTCCCCAAGGAAAATACTAGCCGAAAGCATTCAGGTGTACTTCAAGACCAAGTGCAGGGGACCAGTGAGACCAGCAATGATTTTGCTTCAAGGGTAGTGTGAAAGTGCCAGCCATGGTGGATACCTTTTTGCATGCGAGCTGACAGAGGACAGCAGAATAGGGGCAGGCAGCGTGTCGGTTCCCTCATCTGCGATGGGGTAGTGCGGCCTCCAGCCAGCACAATCTCAGTACCTCCAGGCACCGGAAGACGAGAATGCTCGAAAAGGAACACAACAGGAAGCTCGAAGAGACTTCAAAGTCAGTCAGAAGCCACTTCGTTGTCGGTCAAAAGGCAGCAGTTCAAGCAGGAATCAACGAGTTTCATGCAGGCAGCCCGTGCTTCTGCAGAAACTGGAGTGCTGGTGGACTTGAGCGACACAGTCCTGCAAGGAGAGTCAGCTCCTGGCAGGGCCTCGTGGGAGAGAAGAATGAGTTGCCAGCCCATGAGCAGTCAGTTGAGGTGCAAGAACTTTGCTGGTGCACTTCAAGACCGAGTGGAAGGGACCCACAGCACAGAAGAGGAAACGATGTCATGCTGGCTCTAGCTCAGGTCAGAAGGGCCCTGTTTGCTTTCCCAGATCTGCCTTCATGATTGTGCTAGAGTCTAGAGGCACTCTGAGAAGGTTTTTGCTGTGTCGGTATGGGGGTGCTGCCTGGTGTGTGGGACAAACAGAGCAGGCCCAAGCTGTAGTTCATTGTTTTGGTGGCAGTGTCGGTGGGTCGGTGGAATCCACAGACGATACCAAAGGAGCCCACACAACAAAGCTTGGAGATGCAGCTCGGGCAAGACCATGACTCCTGACCCAGAGCCAGCGCGATAATATTGAGCTGGATCGTGCTTTCTCTGGGTCAGGCGTCTTTTTTTTTTTTTATTAATACTTTTGTTGCCAACCAGTGCCTCTTTAAGTTTAAGAGGCCTTCTGGACTCGGCCTGCCTGTGGGTTTCAGATTCGACCCCGGGCATTGAGAAGCGAGGAGGCAAGAAAAAGACCGAGCCTGCAGCAATTCTTAGGATTGGAGTTTGCGACTGATTCTGTGAGCAGAGCGAGCATGAACCAGATCCATTGCTTTAGGTAGGTGGAACAAGCTAATAAAGAAGTGTGTATATATATATACACATACTTTTTTATATGTAGCTTTTCCTTTCTCCATCTCTCTCTGTATCTCTCTTTCTCTTTATCTCTCTATCTCTGTGCACATGTGTTTTTGGAAGACAGTTAGGGCTCAAGTCGTGAAAGATAACCTTTCGCAGCTACTCCGAAGCACCTATGGCGAGTCCAGTGCTGCCGACGGAATCCGAACCCATTGCGAAGTTGAAGAGGGGTCTACGAAGGTACTTTGAGGAAGACGAAGAGTTCCGTGTGGACCCCCACCATGCAACTGAGCTGCTGCAATGCCTCAGAGACTCCAAGAAACGCTCCCGAGACTTGGAAGCTGAGGGCCGGAGTTTGAGGGCACGGATTGACAGTCTGCAAACACAGCTGGACATGTCCAACAAGGCCAATATAGATGCAGAGCTAGCGATCCAAGAACGAGATCTCGAGCTGGGAACAAAGAACGACCATATCAAGATGCTCCTACAAGAGAGAGATCAGCTCCGGCTCTGTGTCAAGGGAGCACACGAAGCCTCAGGGAGACTCAAGCAAAGCCTGAAGGATCTCAATGCAGCAATGCAAGCCACAAAGATGGCCACCGAGGACGACACTTTTGTGCCATCAGAGTCCGAGGCTTGAGATGTGGCCACAGCGACTGAGACAGGGTGGCCTGTCTGCTGAAGTTGGAAAGCTCCTGAGTTTGAGTCCCTTTCACAAGTTGGTTTCTTCCAAGTCGGCTGCTGTGGAGAAAAAAAGAGCGCTTTGCAGTACTGATTCCTCATGAGAAGCCATAAGACATGCTAGGCTGGTCAGCCTGCCCGAACACTCTAAGCTTCAGCTTGGGTTTAGGGCTAGGCTTCCAGCCAAGCAGCTTGTACAGCTAGGTCTGCTGATTTGGAAACTGTGTCCTTTCAGGATTAGTAGCTGTGTCACTTTGAAACTCTATGCTGTCTGCGCTACAGTACTTCCAGTCAAAGATGTTTTTTCGAGACTTGGGCTCTGAACCGGCACCATTTCGATGGTAACGACAAAGGAGTCGCCACAAATAGATGTCTGCAGTTGTCCGTTTTCATATCTTCCAACTGTCTTTTTAAAAGATTATCCCAGATTCGATTTTCGGGTTTAGGGGCTCGACTGCAAGGTTTTACAGTTTAGAGTTTGGGGGCATCGGTCGTATACTTCGAGAAGCAGCTTTCAATCAAAATGTGCTGCAAGCAGCTGTTCTTTTACAGGCACTGTTTGTAATGTCAAAAATGTAAGTTGAAATAGGTGTTTTCTTCATGTGTTTGTTGCCCTCTTGAAGAAAAGGAGCTTTGAAACCCGTTTCCCATGCAAAACATCATGCTGATTTCGTCCTGGTTTCTTTCGCTTTAAACACAACAACACACGAAACAACACCAAGTAACAATTTCATATGTCAATGGCAACATGTTTTTGAGGGAATCAAACAGCTAAAACAACAATGAACAATAACCAACAGCAAAAATTGGCAGGGGCCCGGCAAACCCTTTGGACACCCAAGTGGTTTTGGCCACCAAGTGGTCCGCGCCAGTTGGCCCCTCCAATAGGGTTTAGGGTTCAGGGTTCAGGGTTCAGGGTTCAGGAGTTTGGGGGTTTAGGAGCTTGGGGTTGAGGATGTTCCCCCTTTTGCTAGCAGTCCCTAAGAGGGATTATAGTACTCCCCATGATACTCCCTGCTAAGGAGTGCGAGTATAAGGGAGGACATCCCAAGTGTAGGGTCCTAAAACACCTAAAATCATCGCCATTTTGACAACGCCCCTAAACCGCCAACACCTGAAACCCCAACCTGTGTGACTGGTTCTGGGGTCGTGCTCGTATAGGGTTTGGCGGCAACCGCACAGCGGGATTGGCTGAACTAGGACCTTGGGGTTTTAGGGGTTGAGTCGAGCTGGTTTTGTTATAGTATGCCAGCATGGCCTAAAAGCCCCTTATACTAACAGTCCTTAGTAGGGATTGTAATACGTCAGTCCCTAAACCCTGAACCACACTGAACCCCTAAACCCTACTCCCCTAACCCTATAAAGTAAACCCTAAACCGCTAAACCCCCAAACCCGGAAACCCATAAACCATAAACCCCTAAACCTCTAATGAACCCCCAAAACCCTAAACCCCTAAACCCTGAAACCCTAAACTAAACCCCTGAGCCCGAAGCCCGGATTCCCGGCCTGCAGTGGGAGCCGATCCCGAGATTGCACGGCAATGATGCGTCCGACGTCGCCTGCCCCCAACCAGGGTGGGCGACTAGGCCTTAAAATTCCCAACCCTTTAAACCCTAAACCCTAAACCCTAAACCCTAAACCCTGCAAAGGGCCGTTTAAGGGATTGTAGGGTATACTCGCCCATCCTGGAAGGGCGATCTTCTAGGGACTAACGGAGGGACTCTTGGGGTTTAGGGTTTAGGGTTTAGGGTTAGGGTTTAGGGTTTAGGGTTTAGGGTTTAGGGTTTAGGGTTTAGGGTTTAGGGTTTAGGGTTTAGGGTTTAGGGTTTAGGGTGTAGGACTTAGGGTTCATAGGGTTAAGGATTTGTGGGGATATTGGGTTTAGGGGTTACGGTGTAGAGTTTAGGGCTTAGGGTTCAGGAGTTTAGGGGTTGTTTGGGGTCGGGGTTTGGGTTCAGGGTTTGGGGTTTAAGGTTGCAAGGGACCCTACTCAACTCCTTGACACCGAAATCTCCCCCCCCCCCCTCCTCTCAAACCCTAAATCCTAAATCCGAAATCCTAAAACCCTAAACCCTAAACCCTAAGCCCTAAAACCCTAAACCCTGAACCCTTAACCCAAACAACCATGCACCTGGGCGTAGTGGGCCCCCCGAGGCATCAGCCTCGCCCTCAAAGAGGCGACTGAGAACCTCGCGCGAGCGCAGGGGTTGAGACTCCGGCTGTAGGGTTTGGGGTTTGGGGTTTGGGGTTTGGGGTTTGGGGTTTAGGGTTTGGAGTTTAAGGCGAAGCTGGGACCCTATTCACCTACAGTTTTAAGAGTTGTACCTACGAACTAGGAGGTACTTACTACCAATCTGTAGGCAAAGAGGGTTGCAGGTAGGGTTTCTGCAGGGCGTAGGGTACATAGGGGACTTAGGGGTCAAATGGTTCGGTTTCCGGAGTGTATGTTGTGTTTTTTTTGTTGGGGGCAGGGGGGGGGTGGGGATTTTGGGGTGTAGGAATTGAAGGCGAGAAAAAGTTTCTAGAATCAGAACCAACGAGCATGGGACAGACATATTGACCTGAACCCCACACTACTAAACCCTCGGACCTAAACCACTTAACTCGAAACAACCTCCAATCTCCAAACCCTAACCCCGAAACCCTAAACCCTAAACCCTAAATTGCCCTGAACCCTGAACCCGAGGTCTGAGAGCGCGGCCACCGTGTCCCCGACAACGGGCTCCCAGGTCTGCATAGAAGGCAAAGGGCAATCGGCTTAGGGTTTAGGGTTTAGGGTTTAGGGTCTTGGGTTTAGGGTGTAGGGTTTAGGGTTTTAGGGTTGGACTTCCCTAAACCTTCTGATGGGTCTGGGCTTGATAGGATGTAGTTGACTTGGCTGGAACCAAAGCTCGAAACTCGACTAGCTACAGCCTGATTGACACACCTTCCTTCATCTTGAAGTAGAGTACATTTTGCTTAATTAAGAACCCAACAAACATAAAAAAGTACTTTTCAACGAAGAACACAAGAAACAAGAATAATCTCTATTTTCCCCTGCTGAGGAAGACTATATTGCCTTTTTTGGGTGGGAGGGTTCTTAAGCACATGGCAGTGCATTGCGGAAGAGAGGTCTGCTGCATCACTTGCCCCTTCTTTCGTCGACCGTCCAGGTGTTCAAGTAGGCGCGCGCCTCCGCAAACTTCTTGCCGTCGGCGGACTTGAGGAGTGTACTTCCCGACCCCCGTCTTCTGAAGGCCTGCCGCGACGTCTCCATATCCTCCTTCCAACAAGGCAAAGCCCTGCCGCGCACGATACTCGGAGCAGCCTTCGTCCAGGGCAGTTCTCTGGTGCCTCTGGTGGCGATCCTTCTCGGGCAAGTTGCCAGTAAAGCAACAAGGAGGGCTTCCAAAGCGTCTTTTGCCGGTGGTGGGGGGGGGGAAACCGGGGAAACCTTCCTTTAGGGCTTAAGCTTTCCAAGCGGTCGCCCGTCCCACATTGGGGAAACCTTGCCTCGGGCCTCTTCATGGCAATGCCCCTGCGGCTCAACCTGACCTAACCCTAAACCTTCCCAAGCCCTGCTAAACCCTAAACCCTAAACCCTAAACCCTAAACCCTAAACCCTAAACCCTAAACCGAAACCCTAAACCCTAAACCCTAAACCCTAAACCCTACCTGAGCCTTGAGCCCTGCACTCTAAACCCAAAACCCAAAACCCAAAACCCAAAACCTTAAACCCTGAACCACGTAGAGGGTTTTGGGGGCTTTACAGGGTCTTTCAGAAAGTAAGAGTTTACGGATTCAGGCTAAGGAGCGTGCTTGTTTTGTGGTTTAGGGTTTGGGGATTTCGGGTTCAGTTTTAGGGTTTCGGGCGAGATGTAGCCTCGGGAGGCTCAGGCAGGACCAGGGCGCTGGCGACCTCCGGCGGCACCTGCGACAGGCGCATGCGCAAGCCAACATTGCCCTCAGCCCTGAGCCCTGAACCCTAAACCTTGAACCCTAAACCCTAAGCCCTAAACCCTAAACCCTGAGCCCTAAGCCCTATAAATCTTAAGCCCTAAAGAGGTATATCCCACTACTCGGAGGTTCATGGGTACTTCTAAGTCGGGTTATGGGTGTCCCCAAAAAATGTTCTGACCATAGCTGCCCTAGTTATAGCTGATAACTGTACTTGTAAGTACCCATGAACCTCCAAGTAACCCCTACAGGTCTACTGACTAGTGCTTTGGGTTGCGTGCGCTTTCGCTAGGCCCCGAACCTTTAAGCCCTTGAGGCCCTACACGCTCTATCACCTGGACCGAACACCCCGAAAGCCCAAACCGGAAGACCCGAAAACCTAAAAGCCCTAAGCCATACAGCCTAAACACCCGAAACAAATCCTTGAGACCCTTAAGCCCCAAACCCTAAAGACCTAGAGCCCTAAACTCTACAGCCCCGCCGCCCTTAAAGCCCTGAACGCTGCAAAATCACCCTAAGCCCCGAAGTCCGAAAGCAAAGAAAACGACCTAAACCCTAACACCCGAAAGCCTTAAACCCTCAAAAACAGGAGAAGCGACTCACCTGCCACGAATTAACTTCCATGGGTGAGTAGTGTATAGGGCTTTTTTCGGAATGAAGCCCACAGAACGACTAAACTTCTCCCCAATCCCTAAATTAAACCCCAAACCCTTAACCCTAAACCCTAAACCCTAAACCCTAAACCCTACACCCTACACCCTAAACCCTAAACCCTAAACCCTAAATGCAGCTCCTAGCCTCCGCCGAACTCCGCGCCGCGGCGGAGATGGGAGAGGCTGCCTGCGCCGTCCGAGACACGCACCCTATAAGGGTCCATGTGCAGGGGTTTGGGGTTTAGGGTTTGGGGTTTAGGGTTTAGGGTTTGGGGTTTAGGGTTTAGGGTTTGGGGTTTAGGGTTTGGGGTTTGGGGCTTATAGGGTTTAGGGTTTGGGGTTTTGGGTGGGCCCTAAAGTTGCTACATA